CCCCCCCGACACACACAACTCTCTCTCCCACACACACACAAAGACTCTCTGTCTCTCCCACACACACACTGTCCCACACACACACTCACACACACAATCACACACACATACACACTCTCTCTCTCCCACACACACACACACACAGACACATATATAGACACACACTCTCTCCCTTTCTCACACACATAGACACACACTTTCTCCCTTTCTCTCTCTCTCACACACTCTCTCACACACACATTCACACACATTCACTCACACACACACTCTCTCACACACACTCATACACACACACTCACACACATTCACTCACACACTCACATTCTCTCTCACACACTTACATACACACACAGTCACACTCACACACACTCACACATACACACACTCACTCACACACACTCTCACATATTCTCTCACACACTCACAAACTCACACACTCTCTCACACACTCACACACTCTCTCACACACTCACACACACACGCTCACACACACACACACACACACACAAAACACACTTACACATACACATACTCACACATACACAGACTCTCACACACACACACAAAACACACTTACACATACACACACACATAACACACACACAACACACACACACATTCACTCACGTTCACTCACACACACACAACACACACAAAACTCACTCACACATACACATACACACAACACACACACACACATAACACACCCATACAAACACAACACAAAACACACTCACACATACACACACACTCTCTCTCCCACACACACACACTCTCCCACTCAAACACACACACACATTCTCTGTCTGTCTGTCCCACACACACACTCTCACACAGCACACACACACACACGTACACAACACACACACACAAGACATACACACACATCCTCAATCACATACACACACTCATACACATTACACACACACATACACACACACTCATTCACACATACACAAACACACACATACACAAACAAACACACACACACACACACACACACACGTACACACATGCACTTCTCTACCCTCCGACACACACACACTCTCCCACACACACACTCTCCCACACGCACACAAAAACTCTCAGTCTCTCCCACACACACACTCTCCCACACACACACACTCACACACACAATCACACACATATACACACTCTCTCTCTCCCACACACACACACAGACACATATATAGACACACACCCTCTCCCTTTCTCACACACATAGACACACACTTTCTCTCTTTCTCTCTCTCACACACACACACACACACACACACACACACATACACACGCACATACGCACACGCTCTGCCTTTCTCTCTCTCTCACTCAGACTCACACACACACACACGTGAATCTATGGGGTGAATTTGCATTTGCAGATACATTCTATTTTGTTCAAAAAGCACACAATTTATAGTCAGTCAGTGTAGTGTTTTATAAATTTCTACTTTAGAAATAAAACCAGTCCAACTCCAAACCAAAACACAAACAGATTCTAAACAAGGCCTCACACCTAACATGCATTGTCTGACCTAAAATTTCACCTTTTCTTTACACTGATAAAACCTTTAGTTCTCTCAAGGCAGTGGCTTGAAAGAAATTTGGGAATTTACATATCCATATTAATCAATTAAAACCTTCTAACTGATTAAAGATTTAACAGCATCTTAGGTTTGTTTAATACATCCTCATCAGTTGTGTGACCCTTTGATCTTTTACTTATAAATTCTGTGTCTGATACTACCCCTCTCACTAACACCTGAAGAAGGAGCGAGGCTCCGAAAGCTTATGATTTCAAATAAACCTGTTGGACTATAACCTGGTGTTGTGTGATTTCTGGCGTTGACCATCCCAGTCGAACATTGGCATCTCCACATCATTTCTGAAAGAGCGCTCTTGTTGAGTCCAGAGCGAAACCTATTTGAGTTTCTGAATGAGTGATTGAAGGACTTCTCAATATTGTATTTCCTGAGCAAGCTATGTCTGCCAGGATTCCAGAGGTGACACGATTGGATAGTGACCTGACCACACATGCTTCAATTTCAGAACAACAAACTTCAGAACATTCTACAGCGATCCTTTTTGCCTTCAAGAGTATTTCTAATGACCAGAAAGTACTGTTTGTTTTTCTTTTTTTAAAGTCTGCTGAGAGAATTCCATTTTCTTTTCACCAAACAAATATGTGTCTATGTGTTCGTCTGTGCATTTTGAGGATATTTAGAACAAAGAACAAAAAAAATTACAGCACAGGAACAGGCCCTTCGGCCCTCCAAGCCTGCACCGATCCAGATCCTCTATCTAAACCTGTCGCCTATTTTCCAAGGATCTGTATCCCTCTGCTCCCTGCCCATTCATGTATCTGTCTAGATACATCTTAAATGACGCTATCATGCCCGCCTCTACCACCTCCGCTGGCAACGCGTTCCAGGCACCCACCACCCTCTGCGTAAAGAACTTTCCACGCATATGTCCCTTAAACTTTTCCCCTCTCACCTTGAAATCGTGACGCCGAGTAATTGAGTCCCCCACTCTGGGGGGGAAAAAGCTTCTTGCTATCCACCCTGTCTATACCTCTCATGGTTTTGTAGACCTCAATGAGGTCCCCCCTCAACCTCTGTCTTTCTAATGTAAATAATCCTAGTCTACTCAACCTCTCTTCATACCTAGCGCCCTCCATACCAGACAACATCCTGGTGAACCTCCTCTGCACCGTCTCCAAAGCATCCACATCCTTTTGGTAATGTGGCGACCAGAACTGTACGCAGTATTCCAAATGTGGTCGAACCAAAGTCCTATACAACTGTAACATGACCTGCCAACTCTTGTGCTCAATACCCCGTCCGATGAATGACAGCATGCCGTATGCCTTCTTGACCACTCTATCTACCTGCATTGCCACCTTCAGGGTGCAATGGACCTGAACACCCAGATCTCTCTGTGCATCAATTTTCCCCAGGGCTTTTCCAATTACCATATAGTTTGCTCTTGAATTGGATCTTCCAAAATGCATCACCTCGCATTTGCCTGGATTGAACTACATCTTCCATTTCTCCGCCCAACTCTCCAATCTATCTATATTCTGCTGCATTCTCCGACAGTCCCCTTCACTATCTGCTACTCCACCAATCTTAGTGTCATCTGCAAACTTGCTAATCAGACCATCTATACCTTCCTCCAGATCATTTATGTATATCACAAACAACAGCAGTCCCAACACGGATCCCTGTGGAACACCACTGGTCACAGTTCTCCATTTTGAGAAACTCCCTTCCACTACAACTCTCTGTCTCCTGTTGCCCAGCCAGTTCTCTATCCATCTAGCTAGTACACGCTGGACTCCATGCGACTTCACTTTCTCCATCAGCCTACCATGGGGAACCTTATCAAACGCCTTACTGAAGTCCATGTATATGACATCTACAGCCCTTCCCTCATCTATCAACTTTGTCACTTCCTCAAAGAATTCTATCAAGTTGGTAAGACATGATCTTCCCTGCACAAAACCATGCTGCCTATCACTAATAAGCCCATTTTCTTCCAAATGTAAATAGATCCTATCCCTCAGTATCTTCTCCAGCAGCTTCCCCACCACTGACGTTAGGCTCACCGGTCTATAATTACCTGGATTATCCTTGCTACCCTTCTTAAACAAGGGGACAACATTAGCAATTCTCCAGTCCTCTGGGACCTCACCCATGCTCAAGGATGCTGCAAAGATATCTGTTAAGGCCCCAGCTATTTCCTCTCTCGCTTCCCTCAGTAACCTGAGTAACCACTCTTTTTCCTGCCCTTCTGTACAGCAGAGCCAGCCACGGTGCCATGAACCTGGCTACTGCTGCCTTCCCTTGGTGAGCCATCTCCCCCAACAGTATCCAAAACGGTATACCTGTTTTGGAGGGAGATGACCGCAGGGGACACCTGCACTGCCTTTCTGCTTTTTCTCTGCCTTTTGGTCACCCATTCCCTTTCTCCCTCAGTGATCCTAATCTGCGATGTGACCAATTTGCTGAACGTGCTATCCACGACATCCTCAGCATCGTGGATGTTCCAAAGTGAGTCCATCTGCAGCTCCAGCGCCGTCATGCGGGCTAACAAGAGCTGCAGCTGGACACACTTCCTGCACGTGTAGGAGGCAGGGACATCAGCCGCGTCCCTGAGCTCCCACATTGAGCATAGAACATAGAACAAAGAACATTACAGTGCAGTACAGGCCCTTCAGCCCTCGATGTTGCGCTGACCTGTGAAACCAATCTGAAGCCCATCTAACCTACACTATTCCATTATCATCCTTATGTTTATCCAATGACCATTTAAATGCCCTTAAAGTTGGCGAGTCTACTACTGTTGCAAGAGGAGCATAACACAGGTCTGGGATCTCCTGCCATTTTTACTCTTAAGCTTAGCTTAGTCCTACTATAATATCAAATAATAGATAATTGAAATGAAAACATTTTTACCAATCATCTACTTACCAGCACACAATAAAAAAACGGAAAAGAAAAACACTTACCTTATCAACACACCAGAGTGGTTTTATTTTGGTCAGAGGAGGAGGGTGGGTGGGAGATACTACACAAGTAGTGTGTCGGGTTTAGCCACTGCCCAAATATACCAGTTCACTCACGTTCCGAGAGCGCAATTCGACCGCTCCCACTCAGCTCTGCTGCCGAAATGAAGAACTTACCTTCCCGGCAGCCCCCCGGTCCTCGCTCTCACCGCTCCCGCTGCTGCTGCAAAAGTGGAGGCCGCTGATTCCACGAAGTAAGTATTTTAAAATAAAAAGCTCACCTTCCCAGCAGTACCCTCGCGCTCTCTCGACTCCCACTGCTGAACAAATATTTATACTTCTTTATTACTGACTATGAACCTTAACCACTGATTATTGAATGAGTTTTGTGATAATAAATCAGGAATTGCGTTTACTAAGAAACCTGGTTGATGGATCTTGTTGTTTAAAATTGGATCCAAATAAGGTACTTAATTGGGCATCATGGTAAGTGGAAAAGGTATTTTTATTTTATGTTGTAACTCATAGAGTAGTGGGACTATAGTGACACTGCACTCTTCTAGCCTCCATGATAACAATATTTTTGAATGTGTCCTGTAATCTGACTGAATGTGTTCACCATATCCTTGGAAATATTTAACTTGCTTTTGGGGAGTGGTAGCATGCTGATAATGTCACTTGACTAGCAATCGGGAGCTCCAGATTAATGTTCTGGAGACATGGGGTTTGTAACTCCCCAGTGCAGATGGTCAAATTTGAATTCAATTTTAAAATAAAGATGTAAAAAAAGTTAGCCTAATGGCAACTGCTGTCAATTGTTGGAAAAACCCATCTGGTTCACTAATCACTTTTAGGGAAAGAAATCTACCATCCTTACTCTGTCTCTACCTATTTCTTATGGTCCTATAATTGTTGTGCTACTTTCGTGTGAGGGCAGCTGTACAGTTAAATAAAGTTCCACGTACAAAGTGTGTGGCTCTGCCATTAACTTTACAAAAACAGCATCTACTAATCTAATTCACCATTTAAACATATTAAACAGTGTGAAGACACAGTAGTGGCTCAATAGATAGAAGCTACACTTGCCACAGAAATTAGTAACTGGTCGGAAGTGATGCAAAGTCCATGTACATTTCAATACAAGGTGTTGTTGAGATTAAATAGTCAAAGCTAACAGAGGATGTTACAGCAAATTATAGGCCAGCGTTTCTCTGTTTTTCTTTCTAAAATAATTTAGAATTGAACCATCTTATTTATCGCCTTTTTTAAATCTCTGGACTCTTCTTATTGGAATTTTCCTTACAGGCTGATCAAGTTTTCAGATCATTTGACAGAATTGGATCTGGATAATAATTGCCTGGGTGAGCTGTGTGGAAAAGAAATACTGAAAGCCTTAAGGGAGAGGAAAGAAGGTACTTTCAGTTGTTTTTTGTTATCATTGTATTAGGTACATGAATAAGAAAGGTTTGGAGGGATATGGGTCAAACACAGACAAGTGGGACTGGTTTAGTTTGGGACATTTGGTTGGCGTGGATGAGTTAGACCGAAGGGTCTAATTCCATTCTGTATAACTCTATGACTCTATTAGTTTATCAGCAACTTAGAGCAAAGGGGATAGCTACCCAGCATATTGATTCCAATATTTGTAAGAGAGTGAGGAGCGCAGTTGTGGGGAATGATTTCAGAGCCAGTGTCACTGGAGGTGTCTGTTTCTCTGAAGTCCTGTAGATATTTCACAGGGCAAAATGAGGCAGCACAGGCTTGGAGGGCTGAAGGTCCTGTTCCTGTGCTGTATTGTTGTTTGTTCAATTTACCTTGGGGTCTTCTACATTTTTGTTGCTGGCTGCCTGTTCAGTAGAATGTGAAGCAAGGCTACAGTCGAGCAGCAGAGAAATTGTAGGAGAGCGGAGTGGGTGTTTAGAGAGGGGAAGGGGCAGCATCATGGTAATGCCAACGGATTGGTAATCTAGGAACCCAGGTTAACATTCTGGGGATGTGGGCAGCCGGTGAAATCTGAGTTCACCACAAATCTGGAATTGCAAGATATATAAGAGCCATAAAACCACTGTCAATTGTTCTAAAACCCCATGGAGTTCATCCATATCCTTTAGCAAAGGAAATTTGCTACCTTACCTGGTCCTTTTTGTTATTCATTCACGAAATGAGGGCATTACTGACCAGGCAGCATTTATTGCCCAGAGGGCAGTTAAGAGTCAACCACATTCTGTGCGTCTGGAGTCACATGTAGGCCAGACCAGGTAAGGATGGCAGTTTCCTTCTCTAAAGGACATTAGTGAACCAGGTGGGTTTTTCCTGACAATCAACAATGGATTCGTGCTCATCTTCATGGACTCTTAATCCCAGATTTTTTTAAAAATTGAATTGAAATTCCACCATCTGCCATGGGGGGATTCAAACCTGGGTCCCCAGAACATTATCTGGGTCTCTGGATTAACAGCCCAGCAATAATACCACTAGGCCATTACCTCCCTGTCTGGCCCATGTGTGACTCCAGACTCACAGCAATGTAGTTGACTCTCAATGAGGAATAAACGCTGGCCCAGCCTGTGACACCCAAATGTTATAAACAAATTTTTAAAAAAGTGTGTGGGGAAGAGATTGATGGATCATACAGAGGTAGAATCAAGCATCTGCGAGGAGAGAAACAGTGTTAATGCTTCAAATCCAGTCTGACTCTTCACCAAACTTATACTGGATTCAAAACATTAACTCTGTTTCTCTCTCCGAGACATTGAGAGACTGGCCAGGTTTCTCCAGCAATGTCTGTTTTTAATTTCACATTTCCAGCATCCACAGTATTTTGCTTCTGTAAGTGTGTTGGGTCATTGGTGGATGCAGAATGGGAATATTTCTGCTGTAGGAGCAGTGCTGTAAATGTATTTACATAATGATAGAATCCCTACAGTGTGGAAAACAGGCCCTTCAACCCAACAAGTCCACACCAATCCTTGGAGCATCCCACCCCCCTAAGCTACACATCCCTGAACATTACAGGCAATTTAGCATGACCAATCCACCTAACCTACACACTTTTGGACTGTGGGAGGAAACTGGAGCACCCAGAGGAAGCCCATACAGACATGGGGAGAATGTACAAACTTCACACAAACAGTTGCCTGAGGTTGGGATTGAACCCAGGTCCCTAGCGCTGTGAAGCAGTAGTGCTAACCAGTGAGCCACTCTGCAGCCCCAAATAGATCCAGAATTTTTACCTGCTAAGTTTCTCGTAACCCTGAAAACACAAACAAATGGGTTAAATATTAAAAACTTGTCAAAATAGAGATCATCGTCTTAAAAAGTTTTACCCACAAATGCACTTCCTTGTAGCGCCTTGGTGATGTACAGCCTTATTCTGTCTCCATTAAAATTACAATCTGGTGAGTCAGGACCTGTTTGAAATTTTTAAAATTCTAATTTCTCGCCTAACTCAAACTTGCCTTTGGTGAGTAGGGGATGTGAGTTAAGCTTATCCTTACTGTGTCTATGGTGACCGCAATCTGGAGAAATTAGTCTGCTCTGACAGTAATATTATTTTTAAAACTCTGAAAGATTGGGTTAACTTACCTTAAATAAATCCATGCCAACTGTCTTTGATTTCTAATTGCTATTAATTCCATTTCATATCCTGGATTCTAAGGGTTTTCCCAAAATAGCTCCACACTGGTGTGGGAATGAGAATGCATTGATGTATCATTATCCAAGAAAGTACCTATCTGAAGGTAATGAGACATTTGGCCATCCCCCGAGGCAAGTTATAATTGCTGAGAACAAACTTTCTTATTTTTGAAATAAAAACAGAAATTACTGGAGAAACTCAGCAGGTCTGGCAGCATGAGTGGGAAGAAAGCAGAGTTAACATTTTGATTCCAATGACTCTTCATCAGAAGTCTGTGACTTTAACAAGGGAGAACTGGCATTACCTACTCTTGCTAACACACTATCATTACTTGCTGCACAACAATGAAGGAATTTATGATGCTACTGTTTATTGTTCCAGCCACAGATAACTATGTGATGAAGGCAAAAAAGGAGAGAAAAAGAGTGAAGAGAGGCTAGTTAAGATTGTTTTTTAATCTAGAATTTTACAGAGATGGCAAGTTTCGGTCAAGAAACGTCCTGGTCCAGAAGACTGGTCTCTTTTTAAACCATCCTTCGCTGCTTTTTCATTTCCAGTGAGCCAAGTCCCCTTGCTTCTCCCTGAAGTAATTTGGAAGGTGGCAGAAGTCAAGCGAAGCTGGCCAGAGGGCCCACCTTACTTCTCTCGGGCTTGAGCCTATTTGAATGAAAGACTGTTAGACCCTCTTGCTGTCACCCACTCACAACACTCACCAATGCTCCCTAAACCTTCATGAACTCCCCACCCCCACTCATTCCACACCCCCACCCCAACATTGTCTCCACCATTGACAATTTAACAGAAATGTTAAGAACTAGGACTTTTAATAGAATAGACAACAAGAAACTGTTTCTATTGCTAGGAAGCTCATAAAACGGAAATCACAGATTTAAGGTAATTGACAGAAACTATCTGTGAGTGAAATTAGATACTATCTTATAAGGTAAGCTATTACTACAATAATTTGCACACATTTAATAAAATACCACACAGTGTTTATGATGTACACTTTCAGAAAAGATGGTGGAAGGAAATGCAACTTTTACTTTCAAAAGCATATGAATTTAAAACGGAGCAACTCACAGTGCAATGGTGAAAAGGCAAAGGCATGGGACAAATGCTATTGCTCCTACAAAGAGCCAGCACTTTTAGGATGGGCCAAACAGCCTCCATCTGTATGAGTTGTGGCTAAAACAGTTGATGTGTGACTGCAGTGTGACTGTTTGATGTGTTTGCAGTTTGGATTTGTTAGTGGTTAACACTTGGGTTCTGCTGTAATTTCACATGATTAACATGGCAACAGCTCATGATGCAAGGTCCCATGCCAATAAAACAGAAAGGAGGAACATTATGTATGAGCTTCATCTCCAGTTGGAAGGTGTGCACTGACAGTCCTACTTTTGGGAAAATGATGTGTGGTTTTCCTTTCCTTTTCAGCAAAGCTGCAGAGTTTAAGTATCAAAGTGACGGCTCAAATGAATGAGGATACTTTTAGCAACATTTTGAACAATTCCAAAAAACTGAAGAAAAGTAAAAGAAAGAAGGTAAACAACAGCATGGAATAACAGCAGGAAACCACTGAAAATGTTGTATCTCAATCTAGTTTAGATACAGAGTTCCTGAGCTTAAGAGAAGGTTGAAGTAGCATCAGTGCATTAGAAATGGGGAGACTCATGCAGAGGAGATTTAGTTTAAGGACATGAGTGTTCTGTGCTCACCAGGTGACCAGCTGGTCAAGATGGAATCTCTAAACTGGCCGTATCTGCACATCGAAGAGGTGCGCATGATTGCATTTCTATACATCTCCCTTTTTATACAACAAAACCTTCCAGGCATTATCATGTACATTTCGAATAACATAGGGGCAGGAGTAGGCCATTCAGCCCCTTGAACCTGTTCCACCATTTAATGAGATCATGGCTGCCTTTGGCCCATATCCCTGAAGACCTTTGCTTAACAAAAATATAATTGTCTCAGATTAAAAATTAACAACAAATCCAGCATTCACTGCTATTTGTGGAAAAGAGCATTCCAAACCTACACCACTCTTTATGCTAATTAATTACCCATGTTACTCCATATAAAAAAGACTGTCCTCAAGCATTAGCAACTCTAAGGTTTTGGAGTAGATCTGTAGCTCGGGTTGTGGGTGTTGAGGTTGGTTGGCTCGCCGAGCTGGTTTGTTGTTTTGCAGATGTTTCGTTACCGTGCTTGGTAACATCCTCAGTGCAGCCTCTGATGAAGCGTCGGTGTGTTCTCCCGCCTGGTTTTTAAACTCTGGGGTCCGTTGAGATGGATTGCCTCACTTCCGGGTTTCCTTCATAGTGGAACGTACATGGGGTCGAGTTCAATATGTTTATTAATAGCATGCTTCGTGGAATGCCAGGCTTCTCAGAATTCTCGTGCTTGTCTCTGCCTAGCCTGTCCCAGGATCTTGGTGTTGTCCCAGTCGAAGTGATGGTTCTCCTTGTTCATGTGGATTGAGATGAGTGAGTATTGGTCGTGTCTTTTTGTAGCCAGTTGGTGTTCATGTACTCTTGTTGTTAGTTTCCTTCCTGTTTGTCCGATATAGTGTTTCTCACAGTCTCTGCAGGGGATCTTGTAGATGACATTGGCCCTGTCCATGGTGGGGAGTGGGTCTTTAGTTTGGGTGAGCAGTTGTCGTAGGGTTGATGTGGCTTTGTGTGCCACTCTGATGCCCAGCGGTCGTAGAAGTCTTGTGGTGAGTTCCGACGTGTTCCTGATGTAGGGTAGTGTGATGAGTATGTCGGGGCATGTAGAATCTTTCTGATGCTGTTCTTGTAGGCATCTTCTGACCCAGTTCTTTGGATATCCATTATCCTTGAACACTATTTAAAAGGGCAACAACACATTGCAGCAACACGGAACTATGCCAAGAGGAAGAAGAATACCTGTTCCAGGTTTTCAGGGATAATGGATATCCAAAGAACTGGGTCAGAAG